CTTAGTATCCTTTAAAAGGCTCTGCTGTCACTGCGAACAAGATGGCTGATCCCATCATCTCCCAGTGCTCAAACCCACAAAAAAAAAAACCCCGTCCTGTGGTCTCCTTGCGGGGAACAGCTGTCCAGAGCACATGTGGGCAATCTCCTGGCCTCTCCTTATCCAGAGGGGTTCCAAGGAACCGGTCTGCTCACCGGTTCTTTGGTCTTTTGCAGAGCTGTCTTCAGTCACCATACCTCCTCCAGAAGTCCATTTTAAGGCTTTTTCTTAGGAATTTTCTTAATAATTTCTGGCACTTGGGCATTCCCAAATGCAGCCTTTCTGAAAACACATATGATACCACAAGCAGACATACAATAAAATCAAAGAGAAGTGTTTCATTTCCAAATACTGAAATAAAGCACTTTAATTTATATTTTAATAAACCATAGCAGCTATCATAAACAGAATACGGTGCAAAAATCTAAGGATGAAGCACCCTCAGGATACAAGTTGTGGAAGCCTTGTTCAAAATGTCCAACTCATGCAATTTTATGTTTTGCACAAATAACAGATTGTTAAAGGGCAGGGGGGAATCTATTCTGCAAACAAGAAATCAGGAAAAGGGTGACTTCACCTTCTCTTCTGCTCCAGTTAGAGCACAAACAATAACCACAGCCCTGTTCTTACAACCTCCTCATACTGAATTAGGCTAAATAGCACAGCAGAAACTGTGTTGAATCAGACAGCAGTACAAGAATGTCTGCACAACATATTACTGGATGCTTTGTTTTTAAAAAAGCATTTCACTTGTTCTTCACTGATTTCAAACAAACACTACAATGTTCACCAAGGTGCATCATTTGATTTTCTTATTGTTAGGACTAGTTTGGGCATAACAGCAAACAATGGCTCAGTCCATGAACTGTAGCAAGCTTTGCCCAAGCCCCTAAACTTTCTTTTTCTTTACAAGAGGAAAAAGACATTCAGTATGTCTGGGGGAAAAAAAACCATGGCAATTAAGATTAATTCAGAAGCCACAAAGGATGTTTTCAATGTTTTCCATTTGTGATGAAACAAGGGGAATGAGGAAGGGGCAACTGAAAGAGCACAATCTTGTTGATGGGGCTAAGAAACAATGCATCACAACCATTAACTTTATCAAACATCTTTTCATCTTTACCCAGGCTAAAAAAAGGATTACTATGGGTGGCAGGTAGCCACATTCCTTGCAATAGAGACTTTGTGTTTTGAGAAAAGGCCTCAAATATACAAGTATGGAAATATACCAGTATAATTTAAAACTTCTTGGATCAGTATTTCTCAACCTTGGCCACTTTAAGATGTATGGACTTCAACTCCCAGAATTTCCCAGACAGCCACTGGACCTTGGAGATTTTCTAGTTTAACTCCCTGCTCAGAACCAAGCTCTCTTTTCCACTAGTGGCAAAAATTCAATATATAAAGGATGATTTTCCAGTGTACTTACCAATACAAAGAGTTTTTTGTAACCAACTTTGAGGAAGCCAATTATAACCCCTTTCCCAGTCCTGAAACCAAAGAAAAGGAAGATAGAAAGCCTTATTCAGGGAAGGATTAAAAGTGGTAACTATCCAGCAAATATTCTCGGTAGAACATTGATGATAAATTTAGATTAAGCTTGACCAAAGACTGACCCTAACCCCAACCAAAGGATTGCGGCAACACCAGTTTCTCAAAAACATTTCATAACTAGGGTGAAGCGTGGTACTGCAAGGGGCACCGGCATGCAGAGTTCCACTGCAGCTTCACAAGGTTTTTTTGAGAATTGGCAAAGCATTTCTGTACACCAGTGCTTCTAGCAATACCATGCTTCACTCCGGTGATGATGGAAATATTCAAGAAACTGGGATTGCCTATGTAGTAGATGCTCCCTTCACAAAAGCACTCTTTGGCTGCAATGCAACTCTATATGCCAGTGCTTCTTGCAGTACCTCGCACCCCTAAAATGATAAATGAATTTATGCATATTTAAGCTATGTATCAGAGCTGATCCTACCCACTGTGAGCTTGTACGGGCAAAATGAGCCAAGGAAAGAGTGGGTTTTGACAACTCTCCCATTTTGCCGGCATAAGCCTGATCAGATTTTCTTTTAAAACCTTGCTTATGAGTCCCCTGGGGGTTCCTGACCCTCAATTTGAAAGGCTCTGCTCTATGCATTTATCTGGGAATAATCCTTCTGAACTCAGCAAGTGTTACTTCTGAACAGGCATACATAGAATCCAAACCTTTTTGCAGTTACACTCACCTTTTTGCTTCACTGTCTTTCAGGATGTAGAGCACGTGCCGGTTGGTTTGCATCCGCGAGGCACTGGTGATTGGAGTTGGCAGATTCTGGGCCTGAAATCAAGGAGATTTGAGTTTCACCAAAATGAGGAAAGGGGTTGGGGTAAGAAAAGAGAAGAGGCAATTATTGATGGATATCTGAACTAATGCTTAGGGAGAAAGAAATCCCTTGGGATCTACCTTCTCCTCTACTCATGAACTGAAGCTGCCATAACTAAAGATGAAGCAGGCAGGTAAGCAGAGAGCACAAAAAGTCAGGAATCTTGTCTAAAAGATCCCTTTGAGGAGGTAGATAAGAAGGAAACACATTGTTAAGGGAACAAAGGAAAAAATGTCACCTGAACCAAACAAAGGAAGCTGGGCCTGAGCACATGGAAAAAAACGCCAATCCCAGCTAATTCACAAAACAGATTTTGGGGATAAAATGGGGTCCTGAAGCCACCCACTCGAGTTGTCTTTGGATCCAGACATGGCGGCTTCCTAGTTGAGAAGGACATGGGATGAGTGTGTGCACATGTGAGAAAGAGCAAATGTACTTTGTAACCAATATAGTTCTGCTGTTACTTTAAATTCACTGGGTTTCCATGGATTCCAAAGAACCTCTTGTGCCTCAGTGCTCAGTTGAAAGTGATTTGTGTTTGTCCCTAATTGTTTCCCAGCTGTTGACCAGGACTATGTGTCTTGTCTGCTCTCTGGAAAGCCCAGGTAAAAAGCAAGGGGGGCTTACAAGATCTGTGTGCCTCAACAGGCTGTGACTGCATGAGTGAGTGACCATAAGCGAACCTGGGAGCACATGTAACACTTCAAGTTGTCTGGCTGCCTGGGAAAATACACACAGGCTGCCTCTCTTAGAGCCCAGTTATGTCTCAATCCCTTGTCCCTGTTGTTTGATCAATCAGAAAAATGATCACTACCATCCTTACTTTATTGTTGGCAAATGACAGTTGGTTTATCTATGCAGAAAAATTCACGACTGAGCTGAGATCAAAACTCTGGTCTTCAGGGGAGAAATGCAACAATAGCCATGATTATTTATAGTTGCTTACTTATTATATTTGTAAACTGCCCCAAACATAGCAACTTTGGGTGACATACAACAAAGCAGAAATCATCAACACTGCAAAATAGACTCTAATTAAAATAACAGTAAATAAGAATAGTGACCCCCAATCATCCAAGGTGAAAGATATGCTTGAAAAGTTTGGTCTTCAAGGCTCTGCGAAATCCAAGGAGAGTAAGGACTAATTGTCTCTCAATGTCTGGACCAGATGAGCAGAATCAAATTTGGCAAGGCAATTGCGCCTCTTTCAACCTAACACTTGATTGAGCTAGAGTACAAATCCAGTCATGACCAATCAGTGTGCTAATTGGAGAAATTTAACCTAATAGATTGCTGCTGTCTCCTCTTCTTCCAAAAGTATAACTGACTCTTTAACAAACATTGACCTACCTTGGCAGAGGCTTTGCCCATCTCATCTATGATCATCGTGAGTTGCTGCTGCATATCAACCCTGGTAAAACAAAACAAGGACTGAGTTAACAGGTGGAATGGCAAAAATAAAACAAGAACAAAAAAGTTGCTCAAATTTTAAAAAAACGGATAGTTTGATGCATCAGAGATACAATCCAGTCCAGAACTTGTAATTTCTATATATACAATGTGTATATATATCTTCATATTCAACTGCCTTCCAATTAATAGGGTATCAGAGGGCACTTTTGAAAAAGGTCATCTACTCAGCACCAACACTAAAGCCCCTGCCAGTCAGAGAAGGCACCTGCACAAGACGGCTTCACGTGACCATCCTATCTGACTCAGGAGCTGAGTTTACATGCCACAACAAACCAGCATTCTAAAAAATTCTGGGCTACCATAAACCAATCCCTTGGGTTTTCCTGCCAGTAGGAACAGCTAAACATATCAAGAGAGCTCTTGGCCAATTAGATGTCTCTGGAAAGCCCAGAACTGCATTCCCACAACCCATTTAAGCTGGTTACTGAAATAATCCATTTTCTGAATATATACAATATCTGAATCATAAAGTTACTCTATAGGGTGAGTTTGCTCAACATGCTAGGCCAGAAATAAGCAAACAAGATTAATACTAATAAACATTTAACATGTTGCACAAATGCAGCTGCAAGGTTTTTAACTGATTTGGTTAAACATGTTATGTGAACATAGCCAACATGATATAGTTGCTACTAAATCAGGTCTGGTTGGAAAGATGTGCAATTGAGCCAAACAACCAAGCCAAACATGAAGACATTATCCAACTCAGGATGGACATTAGAGATAACTCTTATATAAGACTACATTTTGACCTACTTCTTTCCATATTTGACTTTCAAACTGTCCTTGGAGGAACCCCAAGAAAACATAATAGAAAATCACCTAGCAAATTGCCCACTTACTCATCTCCCTGCAACATAAAGCCACAAGGTAGCACCAACTGTATTCTAAATCAGAGTCCCTGTCCATATGCACCCCACTAGATCTATCAAGTACTTCATATAACAACATAGGCAGCCTAGAATATATCTCCTGGATTTTTTTTTGCCACATAGAGTGTTCTACAAATGGCAGACAAGTTATAGATCACATATAACAGGGGTCTACTACATCTTCTGTGCTGAATAACAAGGCAAAAAAGGTATTCTGCACAGCACATATATCACTGTCTCAAGACAATATAATGACTACAACCAAATTTAAACATTTCATATCAGTGAAAGTTGTGTACATAGGATAACTTATAACACCAGATGTGAAAATCATGTTTGAAAGCAGATACTAAATAAGCATTAACAGAGATTTTCAGAATGCCTTCATCATGAGCCCAGACCAAGCATGTTGAAAATTACTAGGAAAAGAGCTTTCTTTAGCTTGTCTAAAAGACTATCAACTGCCTTAAAGAGAAGTGCAGATGCTTACACACATACTGTACACTGGAGAACAGCTTTGTCAAATTCTTATCATCTGTCCTCCAGTACATTGGTGGGATACCTCTTCATTATAAGCAGCTGAGATGGATTGGGCTGAGTTGGACTAGGTAAAAACAGAAATCACTAAATTTATTGACTAAATTAGGACTCTGTCTTATTCACGTAGGGGGGTAATACCAATGCTGTAGCCCTCCTGGTATGCTCTGAAAGTAAGACAAGAAAATAATTATTACCCAGCATACACCTAAAATGTTTGTTGTGAAATAACAGATGGTATAACCAAGAAAAACTCCAAACAAGTTGATTTCTTATTAAGGGCAGTGGACAGATAAGGGGATATTGACCTCCTAGTCTTTCTTCCTTTCCCAAGTGAACAGCAGGCAACTTACCTTGTGCAACATTTTGCCACGGTGGAAGAGGAGGAGGTTCTAGCTTAGTTTTAAACACGCAATACATCAAGTTATATTTGAATTGAGGGGCTAGGACATAGGAGTGTCTATAAGGTATGAAATAAATCTATATATGTGGCCCTTAGAGAGCCTGACTGGTTAAGGCACCAGGCTAGGTGGTGACTGGGAGACTGTGAGTTCTAGTACAAAGCCAGCTGGATGACCTTGGGCCAGTCCCTCTCTCTCAGCCCCAGGAAGGAGGAGGAGGCCAGGGCAAACCACTTCTGAAAAACTTTGCCAAGAAAACTACAGGGACTAATCCAGGCAGTTGCCAGAAGTCCACAATGACTCAAAGGCACACGCCCCCATAAAAATGTGGTCTTAAAGAGTCATCAATTTGATGGCGGATGACAAAAAAACATGTGAAGACAGTTCCAAACCCTTTATTTTTTCCCTCCAACTCTTCATTCAGGCATCTCTTTTCATGGGTGCTTTGGAGCACTGGAAGAATACCAGGGAACACTGCAAGAGTCCCCAACATAATGCACCCCGCCCCCTTCTGCTCGATCTGTCTTTCCACTGGTGATCTCTGTGTTAGTTTACTTTTGCTCTACAACAGATCGCGGGGGGGGGGGTCTAGAAAAATGGGGGCCA